TTTCACCAGGATATCTGCACTTCAAAAACCACTGAACGGAATTCTTCAGGCTGAAGAAAAATGGAAACAGGATGGAAACCTGAAGCTGGGGAAATTCAGAGTGGAACATAGGTGGGAACGTGTGTTTCCTTTCACGACTAAGTTAAAGTTACCTGAGTATTTAAAGCAAGAATAACAGCAAGGCACTACGGTTTTATAACATATGACGTACAGTGTTACAGGACACAGTAAGTGTGAATTGAAATCATCTGTTTGAGATTCATATATTGTACATAAAATAATATACAGGGTGAACATCTGTGATACGAAAATCTGAAATCTGGGTCCGGCACTGTGGCGCAATAGGTTAATCCTCCTTCTGTGGCTCTGTCATCCCATAGGGGCGCCTGTTCTAGTCCCGGCTGCTCCTCTTCTGATCCAGCTCTCTACTATGGCTGGGGAAGGCAGTAGAAGATGGCCCAAGCCCTTGGGCCCCTGCTCCCTCATGAGAGACCCAGAGGAAGCTCTTGGCTCCTGGCTCTTGATCAGTTCAGCTCCGGCCATGGCAGCCATTGGGGAAGTGAATCAGCAGGTGGAAGACCTCTTTCTCTCTGTCTCTCCCTCTCACTGTCTGTAACTCTACTTCTGGACATGCAAACAGGGAAGAGGAGGGGAGGGAAAAGGAGGGGAAGGGAGGAGAGTTAAGGGGAAGGGGAAGGGAGGGGAGGGGAGGGGAAGGGGGGGAGGGGAGGGGAGGAGAGGGAAAGGAATCTGAAATACTCTGGAATCCAAAACTTCTTGAGTGCTGCTGTTATGCTACAATCGGGAACTTCCACATCTGCTCTCCTGTGATGGGGCACACGCAAAAGGCAGGTGCTGTGGTGTAGCAGGGTAAGCCACTGCCTGCGGTGCTGGTATCCATATGGGTGCTAGTTCAAGTCCGTCTCTTCCACTTCCAATCCAGTTCCCTGTTAATGGCCTGGGAAAGCAGTGGAAGATGGCCCAAGTACTTGGGTCCCTGAACCCATGTGGGAGACCTGGAAGACGCTCCTGGCTTTGGCATCACCCAGCCCTGGGTGCTGTGGCCATTTGGGAAATGAAACAGTGGATGGAAAACCTCTCTGTGTGTGTTGCTTTCTCTCTCTCTCTGTCACACACACACACACACACACACTCTGTAACTCTACATTTCAAAATAAATAAATCTTTTAAAAACAAGGGCAGGCGCGCTAAAAATGTATAAAATTACCTTAATTCTATGTGTATAACTTATATGTGAAGCAAAATGGAATTTTGTGTTTAGATTTGAGTCTAATTCCCAAGATATTTTATTATACATACGAAAATATTCCAAAAATCTGAAAGAAAGCTCAAATCTGAAATACTTCTTGCTCCCAAGAATTTTGGACAAGGGATAGTCAACTATTAATCCCAGAAAAACTGGGAAAAATCAGGATAAACATTATAGCCTCTTGAGCAAAAAAGTAAAAGGAAAAAAATGACAGAAAGAAGTTAGCTCCAAGGCCAGCTCCAGGGGCATTCAGAGGGATTCCCTGCCTGCGCTAGCACACTGGAAGGGAGGCCATGCCATGCTGCCCCCCCCAGCCCCCAAAGGCTGCCTCACACAGGGGTGGGCTTAGAAGGCGTGGCAGGAGGGAGGGGTGGCTGCCTGCGTGCAGAGACTAAAGCCATGTCCAGCAGCTTTGAGGCCACACACTATCTATCGGTCCTTGAGTCAAAGCCAGCCTCCACATCACACCTGCGTTCCTGCGTCATGGCCTCAGCCCCAGGCTCCCTTTGCCCCCAGCTCCATGTTCCACAGCCTGCTGATTTCTCCACATCCTGTCCCGACAGTGGAATCCTTCCGTGCAGAGCTCGGGCAGGCCCTGTGTGTCTGCCTTCACGGAGCGCCTGCCTTGAGGCTCCTGGGTTCCCTATCTGCCCCTCTCATTTCAGACTTTGTTCCCCTACGGTCTTCCCCAAGACACACGCGGAGTTCCTGGAGGCCCCGACTGCGTCTGTCATCTTTCTTTCCTCCCTCAGTGTATCCGCAAAGAATATGCTCAAAGGGCACGTGGACACATTCAGTGTATTAATTTAAAACATTCCTGTTGGGGCCAGTGTTGTGGCTCAGCAGTTCAAGCTGCCACCTGTGACGCCAGCACCCTGTCAGAGCACCTGTTTGAGTCCCAGCTACTCTGCTTCCAATCCAGTTTCCTGTAAATGTGCCTGGAAGGAAGATGGCCTGAGTACTTGGGCACCTGCCACCCATGTGGGACACCCGGCTGGAATTCCTGGCTTTGGCCTGGCCATCTGGGGAGTGAGCCAGCCCATGGATGGTCTCGGTGTCTGTCTGTCTGTCTGTCTCTCTCGATTTGCCTTTTTTTGGTGTTTAAATCCCTGTTCCCAAGCCCAGCAAGGGGAGGTGCTCGCCACAGACTCCGGGAAGCCTGGGTCTCCACTCCTGAGTGGAGGTGGAGCTGCCCGATGAGCAGTTCTCTGGGAGGTTCTGCAGTGCGTCTCTTCCCTGGACCGCCTCACTCTTCCCTGCCTGCATCACCCCGAGTCCTGCCACTAATGCTCCTCCAATGCCACCTGCAGGCACAGCCTCTGGGGGTCTGTCACTCTGAAGACAACATCTGCAAGGTCCGAGACGGGGGCTAGGAGTCTGCTTCGAACAGTGTCCAGCTGATGTCCTGGCTGCCAGCCAGGGGCACATCTAGGACTGCCAGGATTTGGAGGAGCAAAGCTCACACAACCCCATTATGGACCGAACACAACTTGGTTCCCCCAACTCAGGGAGACATTTAAACCCCAAAGTCTTATGTTAACCGTTAATGGATTGGGAGCAGTGTTGGGGTGCCGTAGGTTAAGCTGCCACCTGTGACACTGGTGTTCCCTATCCCCTATGAGGTCAGTTCAAGTCCTGGCTGCTCTGCTTCCAATCCAGCTCCCTGCTAATGCACCTGGGAAAGCAGCAGAAGATGGACCATCTACGTGGGCCCCTGCCACTCACGTGGAGTCCCAGGTGGAGCTCCTGGCTCCTGGCTTCAGCCTGGTCCAGCGCCGGCTGTTGCAGCCATTTGAGGAGTAAACCAGCAGAAAGATCTCTCCCTATCTCTCCATCTCTGTCACTGTGTTTCAAGTACATAAAAATAAATGTTTAAGAAGCCAGCTAGAGGGCCGGTGTTGCGGCTAACTAGGCTAATCCTCCGACTTGCGGCGCCGGCACACCGGGTTCTAGTCCCGGTCAGGGCGCCGGATTCTGTCCTGGTTGCCCCTCTTCCAGGCCAGCTCTCTGCTATGGCCCGGGAGTGCAGTGGAGGATGGCCCAGGTGCTTGGGCCCTGCACCCGCATGGGAGACCAGGAGAAGCACCTGGCTCCTGCCATCAGATCAGCGCGGTGCGCCGGCCGCGGCGGCCATTGGAGGGCAAAAGGAAGACCTTTCTCTCTGTCTCTGTCTCTCTCACTGTCCACTCTGCCTGTCGAAATAAAAAGATATACAAAAAAAAAAAAGCCAGCTAGTGGGTTAATGCTTTAACAGTGGATTAGAGTCAAGTCATAATCTAAATTTGACAGCTGGGAGGTGGGCCCAGGGGTAGGTCTTTTGGTCCTGGGGGCTTATCCTTGGCAGGTAGCTCTCGAGAGAGGACTGGGTATTCCAGCTGAGTTTCCTGGGTTGCCATGGGACGGCCCCTCTGCACCTGCTCTGCCACCATCAGCATCCATCAGCCAGACCATGGAGCCAGCTGATCTTGAACACTGAACTTCCAAACCACTGACAGAAGTAAGCCTTGTCCTCAGGAAGATCTCAGGTACTCTCATTAAAGTAACGAAAAGCTAACCAACGGAAGCCCAAAGCTGGGCTCCACCCCTCACTCAAAGCAACACGAACATCTTCGTTCTCTCTCCTGCGGGTTCCTGCATCAGGGAGCGAGGAGGCCAGCGGCTCCCTGCAGGCCAGGCTCCGAGTCCACGCTCACACACGTGGTGTCCGACTTCAGCGCCACAAGAAAGCCATGTCACTGCCACTTTCCCCAAAAATGCAGAAAGCTTATGCAGAGCTAGTTTGTGTATCGTCCAAGGGCACACAGCCGGGGTGGTGGGAATGGGGAAGGGGAGTGGTGCTCAGGTCAGCCTGATTCCACCGCACATGGGAAGGCTTCTTAGGGTTTCTCGCTCATCATCAAGGCTCCAGGGAGCACCCCTACATCTCCAGAGGACTGAGGCCATCAGCTGAGACTCCTGATTTGAACCCAGACTCAAGGACACGCCCTTGGGGCTGACACCTGTCACAAAGAACCACAGATCCTGGCTCCTTCAAAGATCACCCAGGGAAAAGTAAGTAAAAGCCTGGGACCCTCTTTCTAAACACAACTAAAGAAATCCCCCAAGGACTGAATGGCCCAGCAACCCCCGGGCCCAACCCCCAGCCTTGTGCTGCTTGTGAGCAGAGCTGAGAGGCGGCAGCCCAGCTGTCCCTGGAGTGTGTATGAGAGCGGCCACGCCTCTCAGGTGAGGTCAGCAAGCGCTGGGCTCCCTGGCATCTCAGCCCCTCCCTACAGAGCTTCTGGCTAAAGCAGAGGGGCAGGGACAGAAGAAGTAGGTCAGCAGGTTCAAGTGGGAGTCGGGACTTAGAAAGAAAGGAAGACTGTAAATCTATAGGGGAAGAGACAGAGGGCCAGCCAAGGGCTAGGAGCAGGAGAGAACCATCACGGCCATTTAGGGGGGTATCTGACAGTCAAGAGGCCAGGCTAGCAGACCCAGAGGAGAAAAAGAGGGGGCCTTTCTCAGGGGAGCTGTGATGGCTTTGCAGGCAAAGCTGTGAGAAACTCCTTTCTCTGGGCCCCAGCACGTGTGCTGCCTGGGCCCCAGCACATGTGGCCTTGCTGCTGCTGGTCCAGGGGTTTGGCATGGCCATGGCTGAAGGACATGAGGCTGCTGAGCCTGCAAGAAGGGCACTCTATGGCCCCCGGGGCCCCAGGCCGCTCAGCTCCCAGGCTGCACGCCCCAGCCTTACCTCCGATTTTCGCGTTGTACGCTATGCCCACGATGCAGTACGAGTTGTTGGCTGAAGCAGCGACTTCTCCCGCACAGCGAGTGCCGTGTCTAAAGCAAAGGAGCAAACACGGTGAGGACCCAGCCCAGCAAATCCTAGAAAACTGCATGCATTGGCAACAAGAGTCAGCTGTCCCCAGATCCCACTGCCTTTCTCGTCGCCACCCTCAGCTGGGAGGGAGCATCAGGCCGTGCTGTGCGAGCTGCACACACCTGTGCATGGGCTGTCTCTTGCAGGACGCCTCCCCTCGCCCTTCAGTCGGGAGCAGGGCACCTGCTCTCATACTCTTGGCCCTGGACTTGTCCCCTGCCTCTCGTCACTTCTGCTCATGGGGCAGGGACCGTGCTCCGTCAGCTCTGTGTCTCTTGGGACTGACAACATGACATTTGGCACACGCAGGTGTAGCATCAATGCCTGCCTACCTGATGGCATGAAAGAACAAACCAGCACTGATGTCTCAGGTCTCGCCGCTGTGTACCTAGGGCGCCCCTCATCCCCCAGGACGGTCCCCTCAGCACTCCTACTGCCGTGTAAGCAGGAGCTAAGGAACCATGGACACTCCATAGCAGGGAAGAAATTACCAGAATAACCTATCGCTGTGCTCAGTAATGACTCCATTCTCAATGTGCCACCTTGGGTCAATTTCTCCCATGGAGGCCGAAAAATGGGTAAATTCAAACAGCACGTCTCTGAGAAGAGTCCACGGGGACCGAATCATTGATTCAAGTTTAAAGCCGCCTTTAAAAACGGGTCCCCGTCTGGCCCTCTGGAGGGTCTCAGCTGTCATTCCCTTCAACTTGCTTGGCCCTGGAGCTAGGGCCGGACACAGGGCACACGGCTCCATTCGATCCCGCCCTTCAAGGGTCACTGCGTAGGCGCCGGATCACTCCTCCCTGCTCCTGCGGCCCCAGGCGGCCTCCCGGTGGGAGGGCAAGGGCACCCTGAGACGTGAGGCAGGCAGGCAGCCCTGGCAGTGGCCTATGCGGGCCCACACGGTGTCACGCAGGCCTGAGTCAGATCAACCTCGGCTAAGGGACGCTGGTGGGAGGGCCGGGCTAGCACCTGCTCCAGAACTGGGGGAAGAATGCAAGGGCGCTTGGGATTTTCCTCTAAACATTTTCAGAAGAACGCTAAGGGCTCAGGGCTTGGGGTCTACTGGCAGAGAAAGAACAAGCTAGCTGCACACGTGCGCATCCAGGGCTGGGGCTGCCCAAGTCCCTTTACAAAAGGACGGGCCCGCAACGACCCCCACAGCGCCCTGGGCAGCCGCTGCGCGGATCCCTCACCTGCCCTCTCCCCAAACCTCACACCAGTCCCAGGAAAGAGGGCGGCAGCTCCTGGGACAGCCTCTAAGACACAGAGTCCCAGCAACGTCCCCCAGTGGGCAGGAGGCCCCGGCCAGTGAGTGACAGAGCTGGGGTTGGTCCAGCATCACTCAGGGACCCTCTACCTGGCTCAAGAGGTCCAGGATGGTGTCACCAACACTCAGGCCCGTGACCCGTGTGCTCCAACACACCACGGCTGTCTTACCCCAGCCAGCCATGGAGACCTCCTCGACCTCCACGTTATTCTTTCTTGAACTACTTCAACACGGTTGGAAACAAGAAACAACCTCCATTTCTAGCTGAGCAGCAGAGGCTGCACCCCTGCAGGAAGAGGCCGGCTCCGCAGAAGCCTCAGTGGCCTGAAGGCTGGTGTGGATGTGGCTTCCAGCTCCCGGATAAAACCCCACCGGACAGCGCCCAGGCAGGTGGAGATGCGCCCTCCGCCCCAGCCCAAGCTGTCTCTGGGACCGCCCTGTGCAAGGTGTAGCCTGCAGGGAGAGCGGCGGGGAAGCAAGGGGAGAGGGCACAGAACGACGTACTTATTCTCATTGCTGGCGTCGTACCGCGGGGACGGGTCATAATCGTTCCCGTTGACGTCATAGCTTGCATAGGAGTCCTAGAGAGAAGACACAAAGAGGGTGAGCCAATGGCACAGCCCTTCCACAGCTCCGTCGCAGGCCTCTCTTGGGAAAGAGAGGAAACCACACACAGGGCTTTCCTCGAACTACCCTCGTCCGTGGCTTTTCTACGGTGGTAAAGCAGACACCATACGAAACTCCTCATCTCAGCGGGTGCACAGCTCGACAGCACTGCGTACACCCTGCTGTGCAACCCTCACCTCGCCCCTCTCCAGAGCTCCTCAACCTGCAAAACGGAAACCGTCCCCACACCTCCTTCCCAGGCCCTGGAGGTCACCGTTCTGTGTACATGACAGCTCTGTGTGTCTCCAGTCACTGGAATCCCACAGTGTTCGTCCTCTGTGACGAATCTGCGTCACTTAGCATGTCCCTGAGGCCCGTGCCCATGGCGGCAGGTGTCAGGCTTTCCTTCATTTTATATTTTCAATATGTATGCTTTTGTCTACATACTTTTAACAGCAGTAGCTCACATAATTTTGTATCATAGGGGCCGGCGCTGTGGCACAGCGGGTTAACGCCCTGGCCTGAAGTGCCAGCAACCCATATGGGCGCTGGTTCTAGTCCCGGCTGCTCCTCTTCTGATCCAGCTCTCTGCTGTGGCCTGGGAAAGCAATAGAAGTGCACCCACGTAGGAGACCAGGAAGAAGCTCCTGGCTTTGGATTGGCGCAGCTCCGGCTGTTGCAGCCATCTGGGGATTAAAGCAGTGGATGGACGACCTCTCTCTCTGTCTCTACCTCTCTTTGTAACTCTGTCTTTCAAATAAATAAAATAAATCTTTTAAAAAATATATCATAAAAGCTTTCTGGCTTTATTGACATAGTCTCCAAAACTCATTTTTTTTTTTAAGAATTTATGTATTTATTTGAGTCAGAGTGAGAGAGAGAGAGAGTCAGAGACAGAGAGAGACAGAGAGAGTCTTCTATCTGCTGATTCACTCCCCAAATGGATGCAATGGCCAGGGCTGGGCCAGACCAGGATGAAGCCAGGAGTTGGGAGGTGCACGTCGGGTCTCCCACTTGAGTGTAGGGGCCCTATGATGCTTTCGCAGGCACATTAGCAGGGAGCTGGATTGGAAGTAGAACACCTGGGACTCGAACCAGCTTCCGTACAGGCTGCCAGTATCACAGGTGGCAGCTTTACCCACTACACCACAGCACCAGCTATCAGATGGACACAATGTGGCTGACTACACCACCTCCGGTACCAGGCTCTTCAGAGTATCGAAGGACTTGATAATATTTACTCTCTACTGGGTTCTCTCCGTCACCCTTATGAACCCACTGAATCCACAGTGATGCTATGAGGTAGCCCCCTTTCTTGGCCCCATTTTACACCCAGCTTCCTCGGGGTCTCAGAGTGGTGCCAGGGGCTCACGTGCTAATCCTGTAACTGCTCCTATCGTTAAAGTCCACACAGTGACGGGCTCTGTGACGCGTTTAATTCCGTAAGCTCCATTCTGAGCAGTGGGTGACTCCTCAAACCCATGCTGGCTCCCTCGGCAAACCCTCTCTCCTCGGCACCTGGCCAAGCAGCTGGCAGCCTAGCGCTCGCCTGAGGAGTGGGAGGCAGACGGGCACTGGCTGCTTTCTCCAGTTGACTGCGTCTCAATGGCCCGCACAGCCGAGCCTCCAGGCATCCGCTGCATGGTGAACTTACATAGTTGGGGGCCAGGTCAGGGTGATTGCGCTCTATGCCATCATCCAGGATGGTGACCACCACGTTCTTCCCCGTGTAGCCCCTCTTCCAGGCTGCCTGCACGTTCATTTCCGACCGGCAGCGGCTGTTCCTGTCGCCACAGTGCTGCGTGTACAGAAGACACAAAGCCCCCCGACATGGACCCTCCGGATGCGGAATGGACACCCAGGGCAAACCCACAGCTTGTGCTTGCAAATAAACAGGAGCCGCCCCGGGTCCCACCTCTTCCTCCCTGGAAGCACAAACGTGGAGGGGCCCCTCCCTTTCTCTGCACCTGGCACCTGCCTGTCATCCCCCCTCCCTTCAGGGGCTCAGCCCAAGGTCTGGGGTTCCCCAGTTAGCCCTACAGACTGCATTAAGAGACCCCCCGGACTTCCACCACTTTGGAGAGAATTCACAAGGTGGCTCTCGTGCTGCCCCGCCTCGAAGGAGGGGTTTTGCACTCAAGCTGCAGCGTGACCGCCTGGAGCTGTCATGCAAAGTCAGCTGTGTTAGGGGAAGCGACCCGCGCCAGGCCAGGGCACCGCCACTCACCATGTACCACATGTTGGACCAGATGGGGTCGTTGAAGTAGAGTGCCTGCGAGTCGCTCCGCACCTGCCTCTTCACCCGGCGCTTCACTTCCTGCTGCTGCAGCCACTTCACCTGCCAGGAAGAAACGAGGGGACGGTCTGCTAGGGTCTGTGTGTGGGCCGAGCACGTCCCCAGAGGTTCACGTGCCGGAAGCCCGGTTCCCAGCGGGGCAGGTACAGGCAGCAGGACCTAGAAGAGGCGGGTGATTCCGGAAGGTAACTGGGTCACAGAGACTCCACCCTGGGGAGGATCAGTGCTCATGGAGCAAGTGAGTCTCTCGTGACTGTGGGCTGTCGCAAAGCAAGGCCACCCAGGCGCTGGGCCCCTCCTGCACGCGGCCGTTTCTCTTTCTGCTTCTTGACCACACTGGGATGCAGCCAACCAGAGACCACGCAGAAGGGCCACCTAGTCTCGGACTTTCAGCATCCAGAGCTGTGAACCAAATGGACCTTTTCTTCATCAATACCAGCTTCAGGTTTCTGTATCACGACAGAAAACGGAGTCACAGAGGCCAGCATTGTGGTGCAGCAGGTTGATCCACTGCCTGGTAACGTGCATGGGAAAGCAGTAGAAGACGCCCAAGTGCTTGGGCCCCTGCACCCACGTGGAGACCCTGATGGAGTTTCAGGCTCCTGGTTTCAGTCTGGCCCAACTCTGGCTATTGAGGCCATTTGGGGACTGAATCAATGGATGGAAGTTCTTTAACTCTGCCTTTCAGATAAAATAAACAAACCTTTTTCAAAGAGGAGGAAAATGGATTAAATCTGTTTTTAAAACAATCTCCTGATTTTCTATAGCTGTCTAAGGTGTTGTATAGCTGTGTCCTAGTAGTGTTTTGTAGCTAGTAGGGTAGGGTGCATTGTAGGGTGGAATATCTGTGTCATAATAGTGTTTTGGATGGTGAGTTCCAAGGGGACATTTTTACTTCATTTCTTAAAAAGATTTATTTATTTATTTGAAAGTCAGAGTTATAGAGAAAGCGGGAGAAACAGACAGGGATCCTATATCCTCTGGTTCACTCCCCAAATGACTACAATGGCCAGGGCTGAGCCAGGCTGAAGCCAGGAACCAGGATCTCCCACATGGGTGGCAGGGGCCCAAGCCCTTGGGCCATCCTCCGCTGTTTTTCTCAGGCCATTAGCAGGGAGCTGGACTGGAAATGGAGCCGTTGGGACACAAAGCAGTGCCCATACAGGATGCTGGCCTTACCCACTACTCCACACGCTGGCCTCCCACTTGTACTTTAGAGTGACCATATTTGAAAAGTGAGAACTTGCATGCCTTTGTAGAAGGAGAAATACCACCACTCTGTAGATTATAAAGTCATTCTACCAGCGGAAGGTGGGGGAGGAGGACTCGTGAAATTGCCAATAAACTATCTGATGACCCTTGTCCCCTCCCCCAAAGGAAATGCAGGTTTGGAGAGAGAGGGAGTGAAGGGAGGGAAGACACTGTGGCCGAACTGTCATTGGACGACGTCTCACAGTGAGGGCTTGAGCAACTAAATGCTGGAAATCCATTCATTGGAATTGCTGGCAGCCACTAGAAACGAGGTACTGAAGCATGCACAGAGAAAAATCTAGAACGGATACAGCAAACTATTAAAAGCAGCAATGCCTGGATGCTGACATTATGACAAATTCAAACATTTCTAACTGCTCTTGGGATTTTACACAATTCTTTCGACTGTCATAATCTGCCTTCACAACCAAGAGATGAAGTCTGAGAGGTGGCACAAAAGATATTTAAGAGAGGGACCAGGGGCCAGGGTGTCTGGGTCAAAACCCAGGGCCACGTTCCTGGGAAGCAGTCGGCTCTCCTCCCTGGCCTCCGTTTGTCAACCACAGACTAGGGATCATCCCTTGTTGCCAAAAGGGGTAGTATAGCCAGAGCCCAGTATTAGTGCTTGGCACACAGCCAGCATCATTGTCAGATGTCGATTTATTTATGTGTTTATCTGAAAGGTGGAGACAGGGGCCAGCGCTGTGGTCTAGCGGGTAAAGCCGCCATCTGCAGCGTCGGCATCCCATACGGGTGCCAGTTTGAGTCCCCACTGCTCCACTTCTGATCCAGCTCTCTGCTGTGGCTGGGCAAGCAGTAGAAGATGGCCCAAGTCCTTGGGCCCCTGCACCCACGTGGGAGACCCAGAAGAAGCTCCTGGCTCCTGGCTTCGGATCAGCCCAGCTCCGGCCATTGCGGCCATTTGGGGAGTGAACCAGCAGATGGAAGACCTCTATCTCTCTCTCTCTATGCCTCTGCCTCAATGTAACTCTGCCTTTCAAATAAATTTTTAAAATAAAAAAAGGCAGATATAGAGATATAGACACAGAGAAAGAGATCTCCCATCTGCTAGCTTCTTGCCCCCAAATCCACAAAAGCTCAGACGGGGCCAGGCCAAAGCCAGGAGCTGAGAACTCAGTCCAGCTTTTCCCACGGGCCTGCCACCCAAGGTGTGCATTAGAAGAAAGACGCAACTGGGGGTGGAGCTGGGACTTGAACCTCGGTACTGATGTGGGGTGCAGCCGTCCCGAGCAGTGTCTCAGTCACTAGGCCCAACACCTGTCCCCCAAAGACTGCAGAAAGGGAAGACTGCAGCCCATCTTGGAGGGCCTGGGATCAAGGCCCAGCCCCTCTGCTTTCCATCCGGCTTCCCGTTAGTGCACCTGGGAGGCAGCAGATGATGGCTCAAGTACTTGGCTTTCTGCCACCTATGTGGGAGATCAGGATGGGGCTGCTGGCTGCTGGCTCCTGCCTGGCCTAATCCTGGCTGTTGAGGCCATTTGGGGACTAAGCCAGCAGGTGGAAGATCTCGCTGTCTCTCCCTCTCTTGTCACTCTGCTTTTCCAAGGTGGAAGGAGGAGGAGCCCAAGGTGATTCAGAGTCTAGGCCAAGGCAGGGGACTTGAGGCTGGTCCCAGAAGCTAGGACAGGTGTCAGGGTAAGGAGCCACCTGAGGCCGAGAGGGCAGGGGGCTCCCCAGGAGCACTGCCAGCTCAGGACTGATGGTGGGTTGGTCGCTTCACAAAGCCTCTGCGCCAAGTCTGAGATCATTTATAATGCCCCTGGCAGGTATCTCCAGGGAACACAAAACCAGGAGAGCCTCTGTTCACAGTGGCTGCTGAGGGCAACTTGCAACTGCCCCAACTAGAGAGCTCTGACCTTGTGTAAAATACCGAGGCCTGTATCTCACAGCCTGTCCACCGTCCTGTCATAAAACCACAGGACTGCATCCCTCTTCCCAGGCTGGGCCCAGCACCCCCAGCCAGCCCCACTCGTAGGGCTGCCCACCAGGCAGAGAAGCAGGTGAGAGGGTGGCTCACCCTTACCCTCCACCCCCAATCATCTGGCATTGGCCAGAGGGCACGAGATATTCCCTGGTGGGATGGCAGAGCCCCCGGCCCCTCACTGTTGCTGGGCTCAGGTTAAGTGCCCCCCCCCCACATCCATACAGTGCTCTGAGGGGCTGTGACAGCACCAGGTCTGCAGCACGGTGCTGGGGGGTTCTTGCTGGCTTGGTTTCAGGGGCAGCCTGCTCAGTCGAAGTCTCTGGCCAAGGAAGACTCTGCCAGGCCAAGGGGGCTGAGAGATTATGTGCCAGGGATGGGGGGTTCTGGACCCCGACTCTGTGGAGGTGGAATCCAGGGGGCCAGTGCAGTCACGGAGGCGGGGTCAGTCAGTGGGCATGCGGCTTCCTTGTCCAGGCTCTTTGCCCATGCCCAGGAAAGTGCTAGGGGATCCCACACCCGACTTGCTGTGCTAGGGGATCCCACACCCGACTTCCTGCCCAGCACAAAGAATGCGGTTTCCCCGTGTCCTCCTTCCCTGATTTCTCTGGACAATGGGCATTCTGTGCGTTGTCTACCCAGCTGCTCACTCAGCTACAATGTACTGGGTATTCCTGAGTGTCTGGCACAAGGTACCTGGAATACACCTGGTCCGGTCCAGGGCCAAGGTGCCTGGCCCTGCTTCCCCAGCTCCGGCTGAACCCAAAGTCCCCCAGCCACTCTGGGGAAGGTCAGCCGTGTGCCGATGACCCAAGTCACTGCAAGTTGAACTCTCATCCAACAGAATCAGAACCTGCCCACGAGCGAGGGGCACCCTTGACAGACCCTTCAGGGTTCTCGTTTTGTGAGTGGTAATGCAGCGTGTGATGGAGGGCTATGGCCAGAGTGCAGGCGGAGAAGGACACGCATACCTTGCACGGTCAGCTCTCCGTGCGGGGAGCAGTGGCCATGCTTCCCTGTCACTCCATGTGCAAGCTGCCATCAGGGTCTCTTCACCGGGCCCCTCCCAAGCTCCCTGCGGCTCAGACCTCCTCTTAGCGGAGGAGGCATGGGGGGAGTCAGTGGTGCGCACTGATCCATGTTTCAAAGCCCCAACACCTGGGAAGCAAAGCCCTACACACGAGTTACCTATGACCGAGAGCCTGCAGCAACACAAAACGACATTGTTGTGGCTGAGGACAGACAGCAGGAGCCGGGGTTGTGCGTGGGGGCTGCCATCTTCTCGTGTGGAGACTGCTCCCTTTCCAAAGCCCTGAGACCACGGGATCGTGGGAAGGGGAGCTACTGCTAGCAAGGAAGCTCCTGCGCATTCTAGCCGATTCCCTGCGGGTTTAGGGAAAGCGTCATTAAGACATGGATTGTGGCCAGCGCCGCAGCTCACTAGGCTAATCCTCCACCTAGTGGCGCCGGCACACCGGGTTCTAGTCCCGGTCGGGGTGCCGGATTCTGTCCCAGTTGCCCCTCTTCCAGGCCAGCTCTCTGCTGTGGCCAGGGAGTGCAGTGGAGGATGGCCCAAGTGCTTGGGCCCTGCACCCGCATGGGAGACCAGGAGAAGCACCTGGCTCCCGGCTTCAGATCAGCGTGGTGCGCTGGCTGCAGCGCGCGGGCCACAGCGGCCATTGGAGGGTGAACCAATGGTAAAGGAAGACCTTTCTTTCTGTCTCTCTCTCACTGTCCACTCTGCCTGTCAAAAAAAAAAAAAAAAAAAAAGACATGGATCGTGAGAGGCACACATCTTGGATTCTCTGGGTGCGCTTGCCACACAGTAAGATGTTAGGGTGGCCAGGGG